TTTGCCTCCTTGGTTAGGTTTATTCCTAGGTTTTTTGTTTGTCTGTTTTCATTTTTGTTTTTACTTTCTATGCTCAAAGATCTTGAAGGGAATCATTGAGGTGTCATTTCTCAGTCCATTTGGAAGAAGGGAATCATTGAGGTGTCATTTCTCAGTCCATTTGGAAGTATTGCTTCATTTAAATAATGAACAGCTTCACTTCTAAGAAACATACAATATAGAAATGCGCCGAGCTTCTTCCCTCTTACGATACTTGGAATGTGAAATTTTGGGACTGGAGGGATTCTTAGAGACCTTGTGCAACTCTCTGTTTTTACGGTTGAGGAAACTGAGGCCCAGAGAAGTGAAGTATTGATATAAGGAAATCACCAGGTATTGGGCAAGCTGAGACTAAACCTCCTGACTCATGGCTTGTTTCATATTCTATACCTTCTGCTGCTTATGAAAGCTGAAAAGAAAATAAAACCCAAAATACTCATCTCCCTGGTCTCCCCAAACCCAAACTCAACAACCTGTTTCTAAAATCAAGTTGTAACTGTTTCTGAATCACAGAGCAGGGGTAGCCCCATCCTATCACTGAGGAAGTATGACCCTCTCAGCAGGGAAGCTGCTGCTCTGATAGGTGGAAGGACCCCAATTACCCACCAGGGACCAGCCCACAAGCTCTTCTTTCACAAGTGAGAGAGGCTGGAAGAGTGCTCTCTCCCTCCATAAAGTAGGCTAATTGCGGCTTCCTTGCTAGCCTCCGCACTTGCTCTGTGCCAAGCTCTGGCTCCCACCCAGCTCCTCCTTAAGGCGGAGCCAAACCCCAGACTCCCTTGTCCCAGGAGCTGGTCCAGAAAGGCCTTAGAGTCAGCAAGAGGAGCTCTATACCACAGCCTGGGGGACACTGGCTGCCCAAGCTCCAGCTTCCTGGGTGAGTGGCCAGACCTCTCCTCTGTAGAGACCTGCCCCAGCTCAGCATAGAAATGACAAGGTAGGGAAAGGACAGGTTAGTAGTGTCACTGAGGAATATATAAATATACCACTATACCACTATAATGAGAATATACCAGTGCTGGAGGTAAGGTGTGAAAGAGAGCTTGCTCTGGCTGACCACTCCTTCTTCTGACACTGGGAGGAATTCTGAGTGTCACATGCCTTAAGTTCAGATAAGAAATAAGCTCCTAGGATCCTGGGACCACACAACTGATACCTGGGCCTCTGCACTCCAACAGGTGCTGCTGGATTGGGAGAGTATGAGCAGGTGCAGGTGACTTTTCTTCACAAGGAGGTTTTGCAAGGTTTCTCCACTCTTCCCTTCCTTGGGAGGAGCAGTGTCTGGTGTGTCCAGCGATGGCCTCTCTTGTGCTTTGAGATTTATTATCAGAATTGCCAGGATGGGTTGGTCAATTCTTTGATTACTTATGGTAACTTTTTCTGGCCAGTTTTCAAAGGGAAGGCGGGACATGTGGGATCCCACCTCTTTCCGTAGAAGGCCTATGTGTCCCCCAGACACAGGTTCACCCCTCAACCTTTGAGCCCCCAAAAATGAGTCACCGTCAGGGGCAGGGTAACACTCATTCATTCTCTGCAAGCCTATACTTTCATATGTTGTAGCAACATTTCTCAAAATGAAGAACTCATGGATGCCCAAGCTATGCCTGCAGACCCCTAGGGGATGCCCAGGTAGTTAGAGAAATGCATTAAGTTAAGTTCTCTTCTTTCACTTGATCAATCAGCATGAACAACACTGTAAACACAAAGAGAAACTCGGACCCTGAAGACGGATGGCACCACGTGGCTATAAGGTAGTCATCCCTATGTGACTCAGAAAGTACTGAGGCTGATTTTGATTTTTTTAAAAAAATATTTATTTATTTATTTGGTTGCGCCGGGTCTTAGTTGCGGCACGTGGGATCCTCTTTGCTGCATGCAGGATCTTTGTTGCAGTGTGTGGGATCTTTAGTAGTGGCATGCGGGGTCTAGTTCCCTGACCAGGGATCAAACCCGGGCCCCCTGCATTGGGAGCGCAGAGTCTTAACTGCTGGACTACCAGGGAAGTCCCTGATTTTGATTTTTTTTTTTTTAAGTTGTCAGAATGAAACAAAAATTTAAAAACTCCATTTAGAACTCATGGACTTTAACCCACTCACCCCTGCTCCCCCAGAACTTTCAGGGATTTCCAGATGCCATTTTGAGGAACAGGATTGTAGAAGAGCCTTTCCCCTATCAAGCAAGGCCTCCCTCTAAGGAAAGAGCAAGAGGTGGCCTGGTTTGAGCTGTGGCCCAATAGCAGGATCACACTAAACAAAGGAAACCCACTGACCACACAGTTCTGAGTTGGGAGGGCCCTGGAAACCCTTTCTTCAAAGGCCATCTGATTCATGACTCTATTGTCAATATCCCATTCCATTCCTGGACAGTTCCTGCTAATGCAATGTCTTTGCAGCCAGAGTTGGCTGATCTAGAATTTTCACTGATTGGTTTTGCTCTTGACATCTGGGACCACGTTGAATTTTTTTTTAAAAGCCCCCAAAATATTGGGGCAGAGGGTGCATAGGCCTGATTTGAGCTCATTTCTTTTTTTATATAAATGGATACAAGAAGTTCATTGGAGCAGCCAATGAATGTACTGATTTGCTGCTGAAAAATGTACAGATGGGTGAGATGGGAGTTTGGAGAAGTACAGATGATGAAGTCTTTTCATTTGGATTTGTCACTGAGCAGAGACCTGGAGTTGCTGAGGGTGTCAAGACTCACAAATGCAAACACAGGGAAGAAGAGTGATAACAGACACATGGCAGGCACAGCCAGCAGGGAATGTGTTTCTGTAGGGTTCAGACACACAAAGAAGGACACAACCAGGGGTGGTGTCCTCCCCTGGGGACAGAGCTGAGTGCTCAGGGATGGTGGAAGACTCAGTGATGTTTCCAGATGAAACTGCTCCTGCCACCCCCACAACCCTTAAAGAATGGGTCCTGTCTCTGCCCTTGGGTTGCTGAGCCAGGCATTGCTCTCTGAAGTTTGTGTGGGGCTTGAGCAAGTGAGTGTTTCAGTACTGTTGCTTCTTTTGAAATCGGTTTTCTTTAAGGTGCCACCTACATGTAGATATTGTAACTTTGCTTTTGTGGGTTTTCACTATCGAAAATTTAGTACAGAGTTCCAAGCACAAATGTATGTCTACAGAGTCTTATTTTTATAAGCATCTGCTGGCCTCTGTCACATTGTTTTCAACCAAAACAGCTTTTTAGGGGCACTAAGTGACGTGGTTAGAGTCTTCAGGATAAACCAATAATGAGATTCCTTGGCCACTAGATTGTTATGTAAAATATTTGAAATTTGTAAGCTTTTCTGTTGGCCCATGAAACTCAATCATCACATGAATTTACATGCCAGCGGTATATTTGAAAGGCATACACGGGATAGGTGTTGACTTTTTAGAGGCGTGGTGGGTTACTTGTGCCTGGGTAACCCAGGTTCCCTTGGCTACTGTTGATAAGATGGAGACACACCTGGCTGGCCTCGTGGTAGAGCGCCCTTTGGCTGCCTCAGTGGAGAAGCCTAAGGTGGTAGAACGTTTTGGTCCACATCGTCATTGCACCCCATTCCTTCAGTGGCTTGAGGCGCAGAACCTCCCACTGTGCTGTGACCTGTGGAGAGAGGAGAACCCGCAGTCCTCTTTGGCTGGGGATCCTGCCTTCTTCCCTGCTGTGTCTCAGATGGACAGGAGACAGTTCCACCCATTCCTTTGGCAGGGCTGAGTTCTCTGGGTAGGTCCACCTACTTAGTGAAAAAAGAACCTGCTTCTAGAACCATCCATCATACTAGAAAGCAGTCCTTCTTCAGACAAGTACACCAACACAGGCATCGAGGAGGACTCTGTATGTGAAAATTCGGCTACGGCTGGGCTGCTTGCTGCCTGGTGGCAGGTGGGCAGGGAGGAGCCTGTCGCCTGTACCTTCCACGGGCACTGCCTAAATGACCAGTGACCTCCCCAGCCCAGATGTGCACAGGGCATCACTGTTCTGTCCTCGGGACTGTGAGAAGGGGCTGGGCCATGTTTGTCAAACATGGAGACAGGGGCTGACTTAACTATTCCCTATTCCCCACTGGACATCCTTCCTGTGAAGTAATTTTGAATACTGGTAGCTGAAGAACTTAACAGGATACTTTATACTGATGTTGACATGGGAGCCAGTTGGGGCTGAATGGCCACAGCAGGTTCAGTGACCATCTTTTCACACCCTCGCACCAACCATCTCTGCTAGAGAGAGGCCATGGGGTGGGATGAACCATGGGGCTGAGCTAATATAGTATTTTTGCATTATCATCAGATACAGGAGAAGCATAACAGGACAGGAGGTGATGATGGAAGGGCAAATCTCTTAAGGTGGTGTCCTCCAGACAGCGTTATAAGGCATTAAATATTTTGTGTGAAAGCAAGGATTTGAGACATTCAGAGAAGGCGGTCACAGTGTCTATGAACTAGCTCCCCACTAACCAGGGGAACAGGCTCCACCCTATACGTGCTACCCGAGGGGCTACTTTCCCTTAGGGTCTGAGTGCAAAGCTCTTACTCTTCATTGTCTTCTTCCTTTCAATCCCATTATTCCTAACACTGTATCTAACTCCAAGGAATTTGATTTTTGAATCACAACTCCAAAACCTCTTATTTGAAGGGTAATTTCAATTTATTAACAAACCAGAGAAAACAGCACAGAATGACTGTGAAAGACCAAGAAAGATGGATAGGGCTTCATTCTGCCCAACTCTCCTGTGTGTGCCAGCATAAACCTTCCCTGTGCCTCCCGGATGGTGCCCCTCAGATGGGGAGAGGCCAGTCCTGCAGGGGCAGGGGGAGCACAGTTCTTCTCTGCTTCTGCATGATGGGTGGGAAACTCTCTCTCCACTCTCCCCCTCCCCACCCCAGAAAGTTTCCCTCTGCAGGACCATAAACCTGCACATCTAGGACCCTAAAAAACATAGCTCTTGAAAAATACTTTTCCAATTTGCAGCTATACTTTTTCACACCTTTGGATTCATTTTTATTTTGTTTGAAACAGCACATCTAGAGACAAATTGCAAACCCAGCCCATTAGAAACTATTGTTCTTTTCTCTGCTGCTTAATAGTCTAGATCCAGGTTGATCCCTGCCACATGCCAAAGAGAAACTAGTTAGACCTTTTATTAGTTTTTAAAAGCATGAACATAATCTCATTTGATCCTCACAGCAGCCCTGGGAGGTAGGCAGGTGGGCATGATGGTTCCAGGATCCAGAGGACAAAATTGTAACTGATGGAGCTGGGAACCAAACCCATGTCCTCTGACCCCTGGTCCAGGGCTCCTTCCATTCCACAAGATGAACTGGGCCCACCTAGATGAGTAGGGCAGCTTTTCTGCTTAGAATAGATGAGATGTCCTTTGGGCTTGCAAACAAAGGAGATTTTAAGTACAGACCTCAGCAGACAGCTTAGGTGATAAACACACCTGAGCTCAATCTAGCATCAACATCAGAGGGATGAACAGGACAGAACATGGGCATCTTTGACAAGGGTTTCTTCTTGTTTTCCTGATTCTCACCTGGAACTCGCTGGGTGCTGTAATATGAATGCAGCCAAGTCCAGGAGGAGGGAAGGCATTCAGAGGACTTTCTCATCTAGCAATTTATTGATTCCTTCACAAATCCTCTTGAGGTTGGGCCTACAGTCTCCATCCAGGCTATAAAGGGTGGAGAGGAACTCCATATCAGCAAAGTGGTTGAAGACATGGTTGATGCGCCCGTGGCTCCTGGGTGTCAGGTGTCTCTGTACCAGTTCATGCACCAGGTCCTGGCACTCATGTAGGAGCTTGGAGAGCACATTTCTATCGAAGGTGTATTCTACCTCATAGAAGCTGACGATTGTCATGGCCGTCTGGTTCAGTTTCTTCCTGAGCTTCTCCACGATAACAACCTCCTCCTGACTGAACTGGTTGTTCCGGTAGAGGATCCCAATTTTGATTGCCACCTTGATTAAGTCTTTCATGATCTTGTGGGCTTCCTTCTTGTTGTGTGTGTGCTCTTTGGTGACTTTGTAGAGCTCATCAAAGATCTCGCTGCTGGTGTCATCAATCAGCATGTTGGCCACAGTTTTACTGGCTATTTTGCTCAGAATCTTCTTCTGGGCTTGAAGGGCAAGGTTCTTTGAACTAAAAACATCAGGACCTATGGTAAGAAAAGAAATAAAAGTTATAGAAATACTGGAACTGTTTATTATGTTTCTACAAGTGAAACATACTAACTTGAACTTACGTTCTTACAGCAAAAATTCATGCCTTCATACCCCACGACTCTTTTATGGAACCCCACCCCAGCCCGGTTACTCCACTGTGCTTGCCACATGACATGCTTGTTTACCCTCTTGAACCTTTTAAATTGTGCTCTTTCCTCTCTAGACGTGGTCTCCTCATGTCCGGGCCAAATCTCATGCTTTTGACTTACTTCATGCAAAAAGCCTCCTTGACTCTATTTGCTCATGAAGAACTCCCTACAATGATTACTGCCCAGGAAACTATTCAGTTTTGCAAATTTACAGAAGGAAATTATTGCTTAATGATAAGACCATAGCACCAATGCCAACCCCATTCTTAGGACAGACCTGGGTGGTTGATCATGGTAGTATTTTTTCTTTTCTTTTTTTTTTTTTTTTTTTTT